GCTGCTGGAACCTGTTGAGAGCAGCTGAGGCCTTCAAGTGGAAGTATCATGACAAATGGCCGAAGCCCCGAAGCTGATGCGCGAGCCTCTGAACCACAAGGAAACATCCTCCATGGTCACTTCTCCCAAGAGATCGCCTGCACAGATCTTATTCGAATTATTGATGGAACGTTTGTCATAAGCATAAAGGTCAAGTCTTGTCACTAGCATGAAGGCCCTGCACAAGCAATAAATGCGCCGTAAGCTAGCAAGTCAAGTCCCATGCCTAAGAACAGACATTTGAACTAAGGAGATGATGCCATGTGCCACTTCATCCAAGGGCTCCCATTCCATATGTATCGCTATAAATACTCCCATTGTATAATGTAAAAGGCTAATGCAAGAATCAATACTAAAGACTACATTTTACTCAACTCTCTCTCACTTGCTCGCAACACACAAATCGAATTTATACACTTTTACATATACATCTACGAGCACCGGTTGGTAATTATTGTACAATCGGATTACGAACAACCCGTCAGATTCCGAACGTCACCGTCCCGCGTCGTTGGGCTACTCCCACGCCCCTTTGAACCGCTCGTTTTAGACCGTCCACGTGTCTTAACGTGTTAGACATTCGCCCATGCAAGCGCGGGTGGGACCGACATCTGTTGGCGCACTTTTTGGGGTCAACAGATTGGCGCCGTCTGTGGGAAACCATACCATAACCACGAGCAACCTGGTGGTAAAAGCTTACTGAAATACATTTGGGCAACCCCCCTTGAAAAAAGGATTTGTTCTTGAAAAAGAACAGGAGGAACCCCTATCACTTAGAAAAAATCTAAGTTCGATAAAAGAAAAATGAGTTCTAATGAAGATACTCCCCCGAGGAGGGTAAGAGAAAGTACGTATGTGCCTCCCCAGCCTGCTGCACCAGCAGCTCGGCCGAGGCTCTACCACCACCAGAGGAGAGGTGGGATGCGTGCGACGGCACGACTATCAAGAGAAATGGCTACCATGGCAGCCAACATGAGGGATATAGCCAACCAAAACTTGGCCATGGGGGAGCTCATGGCCTAAATGCAAGGCCAGGGAGGCTTCCCCATTCCTCCATATGCCCCCCACGGGCACTATCAGTAAGAGGACGAGGTCCAAAGTCATAGGGTTGCCTCGCCAGACAATGGCCGAGGTGAAAGCCCATTCGAGAGGGAAGTGGGAGTCGACATTTCCTCCAACTATGCGTCTGGCCGACCCTTCGAGGTCCAAATGAGCCCTGATAACTTTCCGCCTCCATATGAGCAAGATCCAAGACAGAGAAGAGCAGGAAGTGTTTTTGACAGAATTAGCCTTGCCGAAATAAGGCCCAGTCAACAGCAGACACAGCAGCCTCGGACGAGGCCACGACCCCCACCTCCAATGCCCCAGCAGCCGGAGAGAAGGCATGAAAATGCCCCCCGCGCTGGCCCGCCTAGAAGTAGGCCGCAAATGAGGGAAGAAGAGGCTAGGAACCGGCCCGGACCCTCTAACCAACAACCGAGGTACGAGGTCGAAGACCACGATTCTGATGAGCAGCAGAGGTTCTGTGACTTGGACGATGATGATGAGAACCTGCCATTCTCAAGAGAACTAAGAAATGCCCAGGTCCCGAGCCACTATGTCATGCCAAAAATACCAAAGTATGATGGGAGAGGCGACCCAGAAAAGCACCTCAACGCTTACAAAACTCACATGAGCCTGAGGGGCGCCACCCCAGCTGTGAAGTGCAGAGCATTCCATTTAACCCTCAGTGGAGTGGCTGAAATCTGGTATAGTAGGCTACCATCTGGGAGCATCCGAAGCTGGCCCGAGTTCAAAACTACCTTCTTGAAGAGGTTCGCAGTGAGCAAGGAAGGAGAGACCCCCATTCAGCGTCTTCAAGACACGAGACAAGCGCATGGCGAGTCCTTGAAAAGCTTCCTATCCCGCTTCACCGACGAGATGACCTACTGTGTACAAGTCACCGACAGAGAGGCACTATCTGCATTGAGAGGAGGATTGAACATGAACACCCTATTCTGGAGGGATGTGTAGAATCAAGACCCAACCACTTATGACGCCCTACTAGAGATGATGAGAAGGGAGATAATCAATGAAGAATTGATTGAGCATAGGAACAGGGCGAGCAGGGGCCTCCCACCTCCTCAAAGACAGCGAGGTAGGGGACCGACCTCCCACCTCATGGACTACCAGATGAACTGATCTGGAAATGAGAACTCCGGCCAAGCCCTGGCCACCACAACTTTGAACGCGGTCCCAACCTTGGCATATGAGAATGTCAACCCAACTGCTGATGCACACCCGACCGAGGCCCAGCAGGGACTCCGTAGAGGGAGAGGTCGAGGCCGAGGTTTTGCACCTAGAAACAGGTCCAATCCGAACCTCCCTGGATACTGTTTGCACCACAGGTCCTACGGGCACGACACCGCGGATTGTAGAGACTATGCACACCGCTCCCGACAGGAACCCGCCAGAGAAAGACACAACTCGCCCCAGGCGAACAGGCCCCCGCCCAGGCAAGACAACCGACATGGGCGTGAGGCG